TCATTGGGCACACCCCATGGGGCAAATCATGACACCCCACCAAACAACCATTCTTTAAACTATACTACCCACATTAAGTGGGGAATCTCCTGCAAAACCTGAAGGATTCTGCTTGCGGTCATTTCTTCTAGCCAGAGTTACAGTAACTGTTCCTAATCAAAAACATACTGTGCTCTGCATCGTAGCTACTTATTAACAGAGACGTGCTCCTTTCACATAAGGTATATCAGTTGCAACTTAACTATATATTTATAAATTGAGTACACTTTAATTGTTTTCTCTGCCTTCTTTTGTTAAAGTGAAAGTATAACTTTAAAAAAAAAAGAAAAGAAAAAGAACAAAGAAAGAAAGAAGTAACAAAAAACCCTTTTCTGTAGCGGAAAGCTTGATCTATCCGTTCCGTCGCTTTAAAAAACATAAAGTGTCAAAAATGACCCCTAGGCGGCAAAAGAACCAACAGATTGGAGCAATTTATTTTATATTTTTTTCTTCTTCTTCAAATATTCACCTAAAATTAGATACAAATATATCAGCAATACTTTGACAATCAATGTTTTTATTCCCACCTCAATGCACTGTGTGCACCAGCTGTACCAGAACGGAACTGTTATCCGTTTCGAAGGTCAAAACACAGAGCATTACGTGAAGAAGAAGAAAGTTATAGGTGATTTTCAGATTTTTATTCAATGGCATTATTTCCAGAAAATCGACAGTTCATATTAAAAGGAGGGCAGGTAAGACCTTCAATCTCCGAGCATAGGGACATTAAAATGACCAACACATCATATACATGGATTTCTGTCTGGCATCTTTAACCACCTTGTATCTCTCTAAGATTTTTTACTCCTGGAAATAGCTAACTTTTCATGGCTTCACCATCAAAGGTGTCTGGCAGAACTTTTATACGTTAAAATATATTGTGCACTTGTGATCAGATATCATAAAAAATATACATTCTAAATCTGCATTATATCAGTTGTCCAATGGTAAATTGTGATGACAAACATTTTACATGGGATTCTGCTGCAATTAGACTTAATGAATTCTAGTTAATAAAAATGCAGGATTAGAGCATCTGCTAACAATGTTAAGTAACAACAGACAGTGTTTTGTGTTACATGTCGATGCTACAGAAGAATCCGATAGTGCTTGGAGTGATCATTTAAATAACACTATTTTTCAATTCTGGCATTGGCACTAGTGAAGTTATAAGATAGTGGCATCCCACACCAACCTTCAACCCCTGTTTTTATTAATCACTCTTCCTCTGTTGGACTCATGTGGAATATAAAAATTGCTGTATTTGTTCGTTTAATCTGTTAAGAGGAAAACATATGACAAGTACATTGCAAAGTAATGTGTGTGACACGTCTGGCACTTAAAGGGCCACGAGACATAACGTTTGCATTATTATAGCTCCCACGTGTCCCAATTTTGAGCCCAAATCTCTTTTGTCATCTCTCTCTTACACACACACACACACACACAAACAGTCTTGTTCAAGGTCACATATACAAAACATCACTAAATTCCTACTTTCTTTCACAGAGCAAAACAAATTCAATCTCAGGGAAGGAGGTGGGGAATCAATGTCAGAGTCACAAGTCTGTTGGTAAGTTGTGTCCTTTCTCACTGCTATACAGTGACCAGTCACAACTTTAAAACCACTGAATGAATAACATTGTTGTGATTATATCACAACAATGACACCTGTCAAGGGGTTCGATATATTAGGCAGCAAGTGAACAGTCACTTTTGAATTTCATATGTTCGAAGAAGGAAACATGGGCAATCAAAAAAAAGATCTGAGTGACTTTGTCGAAGGTTAAATAGTGATGTCTACATGACCAGGTCAGAGAACCTCCAAAATGGCAAGTCTTGTGGGGTGTTCCCGATATGCAGTTAGAACCTACCAAAAGTGGGGCAAGGAAGGACAACTGGTGTACCAACATCAAGGTCATGGACAAACAAGGCTTGTTGATATATGTAGGGAGCAAAGGCTACTAAATGAGCTATTGTAGCTCAAATTTCTGAAAGCCTTAATGCTGGCCATAATAGAAAGGTGTCAGAATACAGAGTGCTTTGCAGTTTGCCGCAAATGGGGCTGCATAGTCTCAGATAGGTCAGAGTTTCCATGATGACCCCTGCTCACCGTCGAAAGCGCCTTCAATGGGGATGTGAGCATCAGAACTGGACCATGAAACAATAGAGGCAGGTTACCTGGTCTCATGAATCATGTTTTTTTTTAGATCAGGTGGATGACTGGGTGCTTGTGCGTCATTTACTGATGCATTATGGGAAGAAGGCAGGCTGGTGGAGGCATAGTTGTGCTCTGGGCAATATTCTGCTGGAAACCTTGGGTCCTGGCATTCATGTGGATTTTACTTTGACACGTACCATCCACCTAGACATTGTTGCAGGCAACGTACACCCCTTCATAGCAATGGTGTTTCCTGATAGCAGTCTTTCAGCAGGATAATGCACTCAAAGGAATGGTTTCAGGAACATGACAAAAGAGTTCAAGGTGTTGCCTTGGTCTCCGAATTTCCCAGCTCTCAATTCATCTGTTTGATGTGCTAAAACAACAAATCTATTCCACAGAGGCCCCCCTTTGCAACTTGCAGGACTTAAAGGATCTGCTGCTAATGTCTTGGTGCCAGATACCACAGGACACGTTCAGAGGTCTTGTGGAGTCCATGCCTCAAAGCATCAGAGCTGTTTTGGCAGTGCGAGGGGGACCTACATGATATTAGGCAGGTGGTATTAATGTTGTGGCTGATCAATGTAATTAATTTGACACACACTTTCCCAGCAGCTGAACAAGAGATCTCTGACTAGCCTACAGTCAATGGTGTGCCTTTACCCTAGTGCAGTTAACAAGTTATCATGTGCTGAGTGTTTTAATTCTGACACTGTCTGCAGATAGTTCTCCCTGCCTAATACAATTACACCGAAAGAAAGGAAAAGAACAGAAAACAAAAAAAAAACACACGAAAAGACAAAATGAAGCCAAAGGATTAATCCAGGTAACGGACTGAACATATTGGAATGTTTTAGAGAGTGTTTTTTTTCCCTTCATTACAGCCGTGTGGGTTTCACAAATCCTACAGCTATGGTTTGCATTACATTAATCTGGGGCAGATTACATACATTTCAGCACAGTATTTCAGTCCCACTAGCGATCATATTTCTAAAGAACACTTTAAAAGTCTTTATAGCCATTATGTATCGAAGACTGGAACAACCTGCTCAAAAAAAACTGCCCTTTTCCGTAACAACCATTTTCTTATTTGATGATTTTAGATAAGCAGGAATCAATCAGTAATAGAGGGGAAGGGGATTGTTTTGATTGCCATGAGCAGTAAAAAGACAGCATTAATACATTGTAGGAGCGGTCACAATATAAACTCCCAGCTGTTTCCAGAACTACAACTCCCATGAAGCTTTGCTAGCATTAACTGAACACTGTGGGCTGTGGATGACCTTTTAATTAAAGTATATAGACAAAGCATTGCACATAAAAAGTTAATAAAATATTGCTTCACCATTGAAGATCTTGCATTTTCTGGAATGCCCAGACTAGTAAGTGGCTCAGCCAATCACAATACTCCAGTAACATTCTATAGTACTTTCAATTCAGCTTGATCTATAAACGCCTGCGCAGTCACGGTTTATGAAACATATAGTTGAGCACTTGACAGCAATTCCATACATCAGATAAAACAAATTGAATTGCTCTCTAAAACCTAGCTTTGCTATTTAGGGACAGAGCTGCCAGATGCAAGCATACAGTCGTGGCTCAGGTTCAGTCGCAATAAGCATTTTGTATTGTACAGACAATACAAACATTTAAACAGGAATTTTCGTTCAGTGATGTCTTGCACTGAAGGGGTGAGTTTACAGCGGAGATGATTCTGATTTGATTATAGTGCTTAAGTCTGGAAAAGTATCATGGGTGATGCAGTTCTAGAATGGCGAGGAATTGCAAACAGTGATATACAAGATAAATAGCATCTCTCAAAGACAAGCCTCACCTGAGCAGCTATGTAATTAGCATCCTGTTTAGTATGCAAAGTGCTCCGTATACTGTAGGTCAATAAATACTAAACATACTAATCTGCTAATTACATCTTCCTAAAACCACTAATAAATTAATTTAAACAGGTTCACGTGAAAAGAACGTGTAACACTCACCGTCATCTGTGATCTTGCAAGTTACCAAGTACAGCTCTTTGAGTCTCTGGCCTTCCTTGGCGATAACTTCTACACATCTGCAGAGGGATAAAAGAGACAAAAATACCCATGATTTTATGTGGAGGACAAGATGATACACTATGTCCATAAATAAAATGAGTATGAAATGACATGGATAGGGGCAGAGTAGAGGCATTCCATTTATACAGAAAGTGTCCCTAGTGACACAAAGTGGCCTCCAGATGGTGGATCACTGTACATATCGGAGACTAGAGAATAGCAGTTATCGAAACAGAGGGAACATGACAGGAGTCTGAAATCCAAACGGTCAGATGAGAGGTACGAAGTAGAAAATATATTTACTGTCTCTGAAGGTCTTTCTTGGTTTTATGTGACTGCCTTAGTTTCTAAACATTTCTGGTTGTCCTGGTTCTAATTTTCACTTACAGTAGAACATATGAATGGTTTGACTCCATACCTGGATGTAGCTGCCCGCCTGCCTGGACTGTTAACCGCAAGGCTAATAGCTGGGCTTTTGGGGGCGGCTTTTCCGCCCCCTGGAAAATGCCGCCCAAGGCAAATGCGTTGTTTGCCTCACGGCTAATACGTCCCTGACTATACCCCACTCCCTCTAGCATGTAACCTGAGCAGGCCCTCAATCCCTCTGTTACTGTGTCAATATACCCCACTCCCTCTAGCATGTAAACTCATTGAGCAGGGCCCTCAATCCCTCTGTTACTGTGTCACTATACCCCACTCCCTCTAACATGTCAACTCACTGAGCAGGCCCTCAATCGCTCTGTTACTGAGTCACTATACCCCACTCCCTCTAGCATGTAAGCTCACTGAGCAGGCCCTCAATCCCTCTGTTACTGTGTCACTATACCCCACTCCCTCTAGCATGTAAGCTCACTGAGCAGGGCCCTCAATCCCTCTGTTACTGTGTCACTATACCCCACTCCCTCTAACATGTAAACTCACTGAGCAGGGCCCTCAATCCCTCTGTTACTGTGTCACTATACCCCACTCCCTCTAACATGTAAACTCACTGAGCAGGCCCTCAATCCCTCTGTTACTGTGTCACTATACCCCACTCCCTCTAACATGTAAACTCACTGAGCAGGGCCCTCAATCCCTCTGTTACTGTGTCACTATACCCCACTCCCTCTAACATGTAAACTCACTGAGCAGGCCCTCAATCCCTCTGTTACTGTGTCACTATACCCCACTCCCTCTAACATTTAAACTCACTGAGCAGGACCCTCAATCCCTCTGTTACTGTGTCACTATACCCCACTCCCTCTAACATGTAAACTCATTGAGCAGGCCCTCAATCCCTCTGTTCCTGTGTCACTATACCCCACTCCCTCTAACATTTAAACTCACTGAGCAGGCCCTCAATCCCTCTGTTACAGTGTCACTATACCCCACTCCCTCTAACATGTAAACTCATTGAGCAGGCCCTCAATCCCTCTGTTCCTGTGTGTCCAACTTGTCTGGTTACAACTACATGTCTGTTTGTCCACCCACTGTAAAGCGCTGCAGAATTTGTTGGCGCTATATAAATAATAACATAATAATAAGGAATGTGTGATGATGTAGAAATGAAAAAGTCCTAAGAAAATAAAAATAGGAGGAAGAGCATCTAGTGGATGTATGTCTGATAAAAGTATGTTTTCGGCCAAATGTAAACATGGCCATTACTCAGAAACTACAATGTTTTACATTGCCCGAGAAAACGGACAGCATCTATGCATCAAAATCACTACTTTAGAGTGTCCCTTTAAAGAAACTCTAGGGGAACCTTAACATTGTCAGCAGAATTAAGTTCTTATGATTCCAGGAGGTTACCTTCAAGGTTTAGACCAGGCTTCTTCAAACTCCGGCCCTCCAGATGTTGCTGAACTACAACTCCCATGATTATCAACCTATCTATTTCATTCATAGAATCATGGGAGTTGTAGTTCAGCAGCATCTGGAGGGCCGGAGTTTGAGAAAGCCTGGTTTAGACTGTTAACAAATAATGTCTAAAGCTAACTGGCTGTTAGCGCTATACCGAATTTCTGTTGCAGTCCGAGGCTTTATATATCATACAGATCAGTTAAAACCCCAGAGCGCAAGCCGGCACCAGGCACTATTACAACTTGATTTGGATGAAGTTGTTATGTTACCCAGAATGACCCTTTAAGAGAATCTCCCTGAGACACACACTATGTATCTTTAGATTTTACTACTGATTTCCAAATCCTTGTACCAAAATATGGTTTGCTAAACTTATCATGAAAATCAGACCAAATAGCAATAACTCCATGTTTCTATTAAACATGTATATATGTTCAGCTATTTACAAGCATTTATGGATTAAAAGAATTAACAGCAATGGTGCCATTTTAAACAAATTCACGTTGTAATTGCTAATTTCTTCAAATATTGTTTCTGTTCACACGGTGATGCTGCATGAGTATAAACAATTCATTAATTCAGGCAAATTAACATTATTATTGCACAGTGTAAACAGCCTTGGCAAAGGTTTTCAAATACAGATAACATAGAACTTGGAAACATGGCAGGATGAGCTGTGAACATGCATCAGAATTTCCAGAAATGTATTAATGAATATCTTACAAGTAGAGTACACCCATATTAAAAGCACATATAGTCACCAGAACAAGTACAGCTTATTATATTTGTTCTAGTGAGTATATTCAGTCCCTGCAAGTTTTTTTATTGCTATAAATACTGTCTTTTCAGAGAAAAGGCAATATTTACATTAAAGCTCATGGACACCTCCAGTGGCCACTCCTCACTCCCCCTAGACGTGTGATTAATGCTGAGATGTATCACTTCCTTCTAGCCATACCTGAATATGGTCACCTGACACACTCAGCCACCTATTGCTGCCCATGCTCATGGCTTCCTCATTAACCTGAGCAGACCAGCGCGGTGGGCTGCATGAGTCTCTAGTATTTATTATTATTATTGCCATTTATATAGCGCCAACAGATTCCGTAGCGCTTTACAATATTTTGAGAGGGGGGATGTAACAATAAATAGGACAATTACAAGAAAACTTACAGGAACAATAGGTTGAAGAGGACCCTGCTCAAACGAGCTTACAGACTATAGGAGGTGGGGTATTAGAAACATTAGGACAGGAAATATCAAGTAGGAGTGAAGCAGAGCTGGAGGAGAGAGCAAAGCACTGTCCCATAGGAGAGAGCAGGAGACAGGTATGTAAGGTAGAGATTACTCTGGGAGGCCATAAGCTTTCCTAAAGAGATGGGTTTTAAGGCCCTTCTTAAGACTAGGGGAGAGTCTGATGGCAGTAGGCAAGCTATTCCATAGGAGAGGAGCTGCCAGCGAGAGGTCCTGCAAGCGCGAGTTGGCCGTACGGGTGCGAGCAGCGGTCAGGAGGTGGTCAAGGGCAGAGTGGAGGGTATGAGGAGGGGCATATCTATGGATTAGTGAAGAGATATAAGAGGGGCTAGCACTTTGAATTGACTCCTATAGCATACAGGGAGCCAATGTAAGGACTGGCAGAGGGGTGAAATGTGAGAGGACGGACTAGAGAGGAAAATCAGTCTAGCTGCAGCATTCATTATAGACTGTAGCGGGGCAATACGGCTTTTGGGGAGACCAATCAGGAGAGGGTTACAGTAATCCACGCGGGAAATTACTAGAGCATGGACAAGCTCGTTGGTAGCATCTTGTGTAAGAAAGGGGTGGATGCGGGCTATGTTTTTGAGTTTGAACCTACAGGACTTGGCAACAAACTGGATGTGAGACTTAGAGGTGAGACCAGAGTCGAGTATGACACCAAGACAGCGTGCTTGCAGGGATGGACTTATGTGGATATCACTGACTTGAAGGGAGGATCAGTATTAGGAGGAGGAAAGACAAGGAGCTCAGTTTTAGAGAGATTGAGTTTCAGAAAGCGGGAGGACATCCAATCAGAGATGGAAGAAAGGCAAGCAGTGACACGTTGCAGGATGGCAGGGGAGAGGTCCGGGGAGGAGAGGTATATCTGAGTGTCATCAGCATACAGGTGGTAGTGGAATACAAAAGAGGCAATAAGTTTACCAAGAGAGGCAGTATAAAGAGAAAATAGAAGGGGACCAAGGACAGAGCCTTGGGGAACTCCAACCGAGACAGGACAAGGGTAGGAGGCATCCTTGGAAAAGGAGACACTGAATGAGCGTTGGGAGAGATAACCACCATAACCACTGCAGCCTGCTGTTATGACGTAGGAGTACCCTGACCCATTCCCTGGTTATGGTGCAAACCGTTTTTGCACTGTTTCATCCTCTTACCTGGGTCCTACTGGGCTCCTGCTCTTCTTTGAAGACAGATTTATGACAGGCGTTTGCAGAGCACCACCCATTTATTGGGAGAGCATCAGGCGAGCACTCTCAGACAAAGAATGGGTGTCTGTGTATAGAAATTTGCACGGAGCTGACATTACCCAGCCCAGACTTTTGTTCCTGGTTTATCATGCACCAGTGATGCTGCTGGGGGTGGAGCTACACTTTCAGCGGCTCAGGTGTTGCTCTCTGTTCAAAGTGAAACTCTGCGCATGCAGGCACAATGAGGACTTCAAAAACCTCGGTCAAATGGTCATGGTGTTTGGATTAACTCTTCATATATAAATAAAAATGTTCAAAATTAGAAAAATTGGGACTCTGACGTCCAGTATGTCCAGTAAATAAGCTTAATTTGTAATAGGGTAGGAGTGTTCCTTAATAATTCCTAGATTCTAAATTTGCCATTTGTCTTGTTCACTGCTTATAGCCACAGTTAAACAGCAAAGCTCTCCATAAAAAAGTATTACTATACAACACCTGTGCATGCCCATTGTACAGCGCTACTGAATATGATGGCGCTATATAAATAATAAAATAATAATAATGCCACAGTGCTGTAACATTGGTATAAGACAAATGAAGCAAATGCAAAAACATGCAATTTAAGGTGAACGGGAACCAGAGATTAGGGCTGCCCTACTCAAAACAGCTTATATTCTAGAGTGAAGCATTTCAAATAATGATACCCCCTCCCTCCGTCCCCCAAAAAAAAACCATTTTAGAATTGACAACTGCATAATTTGTGATTTCCCCCACAAGTAATTTAATAAAGCTAAACATTTTTTGATTTGCTAATCCATGTACAACTTATTTATCCAGATATATTTTGATCCAGAAATGATTTACAATAGTTTGTACTAAAGTCATGATATGCACAATTTGGGAGCAGACATTATTTCCCATGTATGAAAATTTGGACAATGTAAATAGCCCTGTGCGTATGCAGCTACCAAGAGAGGTAGCTCTGGGACAATATTCTGGAAATGAGTTCTGAAGAATTGTTCTCCCAAATGGAAAACCGCCACGAAGCATTGTAAATTGTACCCAATATGCATTATTACTACTGCAACTGTCCCAGAGCAGTCCGCACATACATTTAATCTAAAGGATATGGATCAAAGGAAAGTGTATTTACAATAAAACACATTATTCAGTAGAAAAAGAATGAAAAGCAGATGGTTATGTAACTATGGACTGTGTTCTCAGTACTTACGGTATCAAGCTTTTTAATATTTGACTATAGTAACAAAGAAAGTAAAACTTTGCTCGTTTTAACCCTCTTAGTGTTTGTATATTATACAGAATAGAGTCGAGTTATTTGCTGAGCTTTAATTCTATATTTTTTATACATAAATATAATTTGGTAAGTGATATAATTTGAAAATCAATATAGATATGCTGTGAATATTTAATTTAAATTAGAGTTGGGATACCGTAAAAAAAATTGAAACATATACAGTTGCTACACCAGAACAACTACTATTTTGTAAAGCAAACATTTAAAAATTCATTACAAAGCAAGAGAAAAAACAGGGGTTTTATTGCTCAAAGAAAATAAACTTTTAAATTGTTTGGCAATACGTTCCAAGATTCCAAGCCAATTTCTGTAAATTTTAATTTAATGCTAGAATTGCACAGAAGAAATCATTCCTTTCTGCTACACAAAAACAAATCCAAATGTAGAGCTTCTTAAAAAAAATAAATAACAATAAAAAAAAACATTAAAAAATTCCTTTATGAACACTGTAAACATCCCATCTTCATTTTTTTAATTATTCTTGTTGTACTTCTACTTTGCGTTTGCGTCCACTTGCATTGAATTATGGAAACAGTTTGATGGA